TATAGTAATATCATACATTACACTGGTGCACATATACAGAATATGTGCAACATTATTAGGATATTTGACAAGCCGTTTTTTAAGGACCTTTGAAATGTGCTTTATAAGTGACAGATCCTTTGCTCCTCTGTCTACCTCTCTGATTGCGCCCGATATTACGGTTGAGTATTAATTATGTAGTATGGTTTTTAAAAGGTGTTCGCCTTAATTTTATTATATACGTAAATGTATTATAGACATTTACGTGGACTCTTCGTGGTGTTTGCAAATCAAAATTAGTCAGTTTTTTGTAACAAATTGTTTATTACTCCTTTCATACAAAAACCAATTTTCAATTAATATTATGCATATTTTTTTCTAACTAACCTATTGTAATAGTTAATTCTTACCTATTTAAACGCGTTTACGACGTATACGTGTTAAATATTTTTAGTGCTCACCATAACAGTGAATTTTATTCACGCGTTTATATTGTCACTTTTTAAATATTGTTTGCATTTATTCACGTTGGTCAATATATTAAAAAAAAAAAAAACTATCATTTTGCATTTGAATAGATTTTTATTAATTTATGTTATAGTAATGAAAAGAAGTCGTATAGAAACAAAACAATCAAAATCTACCTACCCACACATAAATGTAATGCRTGTTTTGTATTTTATTATCAAAATTAAATGTTTTGTTGGGGCRTCATGATTGATGTAAATTTAATTGTTATTTTTGAAACGTGGAACGAGTTTTGTTTTACGAGTTAACTCTCCTCGTAAAATATTATATGTTATTCTTTAAAAGGTGTACAATATATTATCAATTATTATGTCCAATAGTCCACGATTCGSTAAATTCAATGAAAAACAATTATATTAAATGTGTAAGTGCAYACTGCAGCCTAACAATAAWTGTAATTTGCTTTTTGATTCGGTGTCGCAGGTGAAATACTTCTGTGGTCCTGCAAAGTGGAACAATCGTGCCCCGGCTACAGCTTCGTCGTCAGGTGCAGCCATGGTGCCAGAGAGCCAGGAAGTGTGGAACGTTGAGGAAGAGGACCTTAGCACAGCGCTGCTCACATCCAAGTTGACCAAGTTTTCCGACCCGGAAACTGCTGTTAGGGTGCGGGGACTGTTCTCAGACATGGCGCGGTCCATGTGCGCAAACTACACGACGACGGACTGCTGGAACGGCCGAGCGGTGGGAGAGTGAGTGCATTTGCTACAGTGGCGTAGTCAGAGGAGAAACTAAGGGTGCTGCAGCCTTCCAAAAAATTTCAGGAAAATTCAAAATTTTGATAAATGTTCTGCGAACTTACMACGACCGTACGTTTACAAAACACKAAAAGCATTTTTGAATTTTCCAGAAATTTTTTGGGAGGGCTACAGCTTCCCGGACCCTACTCTATCTGGCTAAACCACATAATTTTTATTAGATTTTCAGTCGATTGACTGTCCAATTTCATATTGGTTTTCATGTATTTTTTTT